CCCTAGACCCTAATCCCTAATCCCCAGCCAAACCCAGAGGATCCTACTGCTTGCCTAGGGCTTCGGGTGTAGGATTCACGTCAGCCTGTTGCGAGCTGGGAACGCGTGCTGTTTCGCAGGAAATGCCGACGGGCAGATTCAGGGGTCCAGAACTCCCAAAACCTCACGACGCGCAAACCAAACATGAATAGACCCTGAGAACGCCCAAACCCGAAGACCCAAAACCCAAAACCTTTGAACCGGAGCTTTGGATGCAAAACCCTCAAAAAGTTTTTTTGTTGTTTTATCGGACCGTTTCTTGGGAATTGAGGGTTTAGGGTCTAGGGTCCTCGGGCAAGCCCCTGGAACAAACGGCGGACTCGTCCCTACACCCTGCCCCGAACCCTTGGAGAATCCCGCAAAAACAGACCCTCCCAGCAATCCCCTACTCTAGTATCCCCAATGTATGGAAACAGGATCATGTGAGAGGTTCTGCTTTATTGGATTTTTTGGGTGGTTAGGGTATGTAGGGCAATAGGTCCTGCATCTTGAGACCTAGAATTTCAGAATTGTAAGTGGGGGCCACGATTAGCATTGAGGCTCCAGCCGCTGTCCTCCCCCTCACTGATCCAGGGCTGCATGCACCTCAATCCACTTGAGTAGTGTTTTTTTCGTGGTTGAACCTAGTAAGAAAATGTTCCTTATATAAAATACTATACGCGTACCATAGTATTCCCAAATAAAATACTACACACTTCAGTTCATCCCAAACCCTACGCCTGCAACCCTGGGCCGGCGTTGCTTGTAGGGAATCTAAATCTCGTTCCCCGAGATACTGAGAAGGTACCCCTAAACCCTAAACCCATATCATTCCTTTGAGAGCAACCCAGTAGCTGCAGAGATGTTGTGGGGACTCTGCAGGGCGCATGGAGGTTGTAGAGGATGTGTATATAATCAAGACTTCCTGAGCCCTAGACCCTAAACCCATGTGTTGATACGTTTGGACACCAAAACTATGAGGATGGCACTGAGTCTTTAAGGCTTGGGCTGATAGTCGAAGTTGAAGGTTTCTGCGAACAGCGGACACGGACCCATTGTTTACAGGAGCTTGCTTTAAAGCCTGAACTCCGGACTCAGGGTGGGGTTGTAAGAGCATCAGACCGGACGCTCGAAAACCTTGCAGTGAAAACAACGCTAAGAAAAAACACAAGCCCCACATAGTCCCAGCTTTCATCTAGTTGATATTCATCTTCTTTTGCCTCTGATGCTACATTCTGTTAGTAGGGCAAGCTCCTGGGCTCAGGTGAGCCAAAGTTTATGTCACAGAGCTCATGGCTTCGCAAGCCCTAGAACCGCAGGAACTGAGCAACCAATCCTTCTTAAGGTTGATGGTCTAGGGCCCTAAACCCCCAGCCTTATAGTCCCCCTTGAGTGGATAGCATATGGGGTATTTGGGAATCTTACGATCATATACCCAAAGCCATATTCTATCTACCTAAGGGGAATTATAACCCTTAAACGAGAGGTGGGGGTTTAGGGTTCAGGCGGCCTTCTATCCTCTCAAGCTTAGTGGCAGCACTCCCAGTGTGAAATCTCTGAGGTTTTGGTCAGTCCAGGACAACCGGCACTAACCTAGAAACCCTACTTTAGCTTAGGTTCTGATCACTGCAGCCTAAGTATCCTGAGATGGACAGTTCCAGCAATCGTGTCAGTTCACATCTTCAACGTGTTTTGCAATCCCGGACTAATGGGTAGGCTTCCTGCCGTGCCGTTTTGAGCTACAGTCCAAACTCCTAGTACTCCCCTTAATACTCCCTGTAATGCTCCCCTATATAAACACCTTTAAGGAGGTTAGAGTATGACTCATTTGAGACATATGGTGCTTCGCCAATAGAATTGTACTGGTTTCTGGCGGCCTTTAGGAATCAGCGGTCCCCACGGACTAGACCCTGTTCGCCAAGGGCAACCCCAATGTCCCAGCTCCCATAACCCGATCCAAAATCCCTAGAACATCAAACCCTGCCCTCAAGCCTACCCCTTGGGCGTTATGGGGATGTATGGGGTTGCATGTCTGGTGGGGACTTACTCCTGAAATATCCTGTTACCCTATATCCTCTCTCAAAAATTAACCAAAACGCCCTTCTACCCTAAACCCCAACTGTGCGTAGGGCTGGAGAGGCCCCAAAGTGGGCAGTGTGTCTGCCACATCAAAGGTGTAGGAGCCTGGGAGCTCGTGAGCCCTGGGTCCTGGTTTGATAAAGCGTTTGGAGGTTTACAAGATTCTGGAACTCTGAGGTTCTAAAGCTTTCTGATTCATGAAGCTTGTGTATGTTTCTTTTAGGGAGTTGCGCCTTGTTCTTGCTTGGACCCTCAGAACATACCCTTCCCCAAACCAAGAAGGAAGCGCAGGCGCCTTATCAGGACCGTGGTATATATAGCTCGGGGAAGGTAACGCACGGCGGTCAAGGGCTTCATCTGCTCCGTGGCTTCAGGGATTCCGGGCTGTTTACAAGGTTACACGCTTGACCACCCCAGACCCAGAAGACTTGCACGAAACAAGGTCGCCATACAAAAATCCCTGACAGACGCCAAGAAGCCCGTACAAGGCTTCTTCAACCCGACTCCAGAGTCCAGAATGAAGCAAATATCTGACAAATCACCTTTGCATGCTCTTTTTGCTTCCGATACTCTACCTTTCCGTGCGGCATGATCCTGACAACCACCCTCCGCTGAATCCCACGTTGGTGCCCGGACGGAGAAAGCGATAAACGTCGCCTTGGAGGGGCTTGCAAGGCCAAGCCCGAAACCCTGAACCCGGTTTCGGCTGTGCTGGTGCTAGGGTTTCAGGTTTAGGGAGGAGGGCTTGGGTTCGGGTTCGCGCTGCCGGTTTAGTGTTGAGGGTTTAGCACTGAAGTACACAGACTTCACATGAAGGATTCCATCATCATAACTACCCTTGTGATGAGAATTCAACTTACATAGTAGGGTTTTAGGTTTGGGGCTCCATTCTTTTTGGCTAACATCTGAAAATCCCGAGATGTGCACCTCTGGGCTACAGATTCCTCTACGACCGAAGCTCTACACCTGGGACTCGAAACCCCTTGCGAGGATGGGCCTTGCTTTTTGAAGACTTCAACCCGGGCATCCCCCAATGACTAGGGTTTCGGGTCCTTGTTTGGGGACTTTAGGGGCCTAACATCAGCACTTCGAGCTGCAAGGGCCTTTATATTGCTCTGCGGACTCCAATCATACCATGAAGCCTTAAGACACCACACATACCCGGTGTAGGGCTAAGGGTTTCAGGGTTTGGGGAGGGGTATCTGAAGATTCATGTACAGCCATACGCCGGGGTATAAGCAGGACAGCTGTAGTTTCAACCTAACTTGGGAAGTAGAAACCCTACCCATGAACCTCCAAACAACTCGAAAAGGTGGCTAAAGCCATCGTCGCTTGCGCCTTGACTCCCAGGACCTACACCATCAACCACACTCTCCCTTCCCCTTATGCTAAACTATCCGGAGGCTAATTGTTAGGGAAGATGATTACAACCTCCCTTGCTGAACCGAACCTCGAAAACCAAGACCTCATATTTCATCTCTCTAGACTCTCAACCCTGAACCCTGCAACTCCCGAAAAATTAGCGTAACGAAGGCCCTGTCTGACCCCTTCAACCTCAGAAAAAGCCTCCAAGCATGGGAGGCCCTGAGGCCCCGTGCGCAGCTGCTCATGCACAGATAGAAGCTCCTCGAGCTCTCTGAGCTACAGGGGCCCGGCTAGGCAAGGTACAAATTAATAGCGGCATGAAAAAGAATAATGGAACATCAAATGGAAGAAAAATGGAAGCTGGGTTTCAAAAGGGTCTGTACAGAGACTGTATGTTGGTGCCTAACTTGTCAGGGGGATCTTACACAACTCCATTACGGGTTAACAGGGAATATTGCTATCTATTTAAGCTTCCACATTATGCAAGAATATGATTGGGGACCCACATGTTCGACCTTGGATCTTGGCTTCAGATGCCCCAAGGGTTCAGAAGTGCTCAGAAGTGTAAGCAAAAGTTTGGGTAAACGGCCCGAAGGCTTGAGGGGTTTACAAGAATCTGGGCGTCCAGGTAACTCTCAAAAAAAAGAACTAAGCGACGTGCATTGCGGACAGTGGGGATTCTGAGCGATTTGAGATTACAAGAATACTGGAGACTACAAGAATAGTTATTTGAGACTATACGTAGGAGACTATGAGACTATAAGAATACTGGCTGTACTGGATTCCTCCCAAGTCCCTGTAACCAACCAAGAAACCCCAATCCCACGGGCAGCGATGCCCATGACTCACCGACTACTTTCATGTACTTGGCTTCAAGACAATGATGACCTGGGGAAAAAACGCGCAAGGCCTGGGCAAACCTCAATTCAAGATCAAAACCCTTGCGGCACACCACGGAACCTACACCTAGATCCTAAACTTAATCCATCGGTCGTGACCCCAAACTCTGATACTCAGAAGGCTCAAGATGCCATTTCTCAGCCTGAGCGTCCCGTGACGTTCAAATTAGGAGATCTCCTGTATCCCCCGTTACCCTCACAGGGGCTTAGTAGGAAATAAGTGAATATAATCCCTATATGATCCCTGTACAATTCCTATCTTCCCTACTACCCGCCGGTTAGCCAAGGAAGCAACCGCGTGGAGGGATCGGTCCTTGAGCTTTTGAGACTGGATCGGAAGGTCGCCTCTGAGGATTTCAGGGTTTAGGGGTTTAGGGGTTTAGGGTTTAGGGCCTTAGGGTTTAGGGTTTGGGGTTTAAGGTTCAGGGTTTAGGGTTTGTAAGGGTTTAGGGCTTGGGGTTTGGGTTTAGGGTTTTAGGGTTTTTCGAGTTCAGAGTTAAGGGGCGTTGGGTTGGGGATAGGGCTTTGTGTTGAAAGGTTGAGGCTCAGGGTTAGGGCCTTGGGGGCTTTGCAAGGTAAGTAATGTCAAGAAGAGGCTCTGCAGCATCCGATGCACGCTTTTGTGAGACTGAACAAGGGAATTTCCAAATCACTCAAATTTCTGACTTAACTTCAGCTTTTTTGGGTTCTCAGGTCTCAGAATCCGGGTCAAGCATACGAGGCGTCAATCCACAAGTTGCTAACTGGCTGGAAGTCTGGAGCGCGAGCCCCGAAGTCTGTACCGTATCTTGAACCCAAAACCCTCAAACCACAAAATCCGAGATTCTAAAACCCAAACTGCGTACCCTGAACCCTAAACCCCGCAACACCCAAACTCTGAATGCCAAAGCTCTAAGAACCAGCCCTAAATCCTAAACCCTAAGACCTGAGCCCTAAACCCTACAAACGCAGCCTGGTTGGTGAAGTCGCGGCCGCTTCAGTGGCTGCCTTTGGGCTATTTGGGTTTAGGGTTCAGACTTCAAGTTCGGAGTTTCACGCTTCACGATTCAGACTTGGGTGTAGGTGCTAAGCTTTCAGGATAAAGACTGGGCTTGTGGGTTCAGAGCTTGCTTTGGCCCTTCCTAAAACCAAGCGACGGCAAGTAACCACGAATGGTTTAGGCCATAACCATCCTGCAGTCTCCTTAGACCCATAATAAAAACAATTTTCTTAATATTCTTAAGGTTATATTAAGTTAGAAATTGAAAATAATTCCTTAGGACAGTACAGCATCTGGGATCATCTCAGCTAAGTCTGAGTCCTAGGGCTTCGGTGTAAGAAAAACTGAAGTCATTCCGGGCAGAAGGGTTGAGCAGTAGGCAAGCCTGTCAGAGAAGCATGTAGAAATTGGGCTTCAATATCAAAGAACTTTGGGTAAATGACAGCTTGAGTCCACATTCAGGGCTGTAATTAACCACCCACAATGCTCTAAACTCGAATCCCAAAAGCCTGCACCCCAACCCCTTTCCCCTAGGCAGCTCGACATGCCCATAAGCTCAGCTCGCAGCAGTGTGCTCGGAAGCTTCTTTTTCGAGACAGTCGTCTGCCATCGGGCGCATTCAAGGCTTAGGGTTTGGTATATACCCTACCTAATATAGTAGCTTCCATTTTCTTTTCCATTATCCCTATAAGGGCTCAGGGTTTAGGGTCTCCAAGGTTGAGGCTAAGGGCTTAGAATCACGATTCAGGAAGGTAAGGAGCTTTTGAAAGGGAGAGGCAGTCTGGGATTATAAATTGCAAGTGTCAGCACTCAGAGTTCAGCTTTGGGCTGATCACTTGGCTCCAGCAATTGCACTTGAAAACCCTCATTACAAATTGCTTCTAAAGCACTCCAAATCCCCCATTATGGGCCGAACCTCAATCCTAGGCCCGAAGCTCAAAAACTCTAAACCCTGACCTTCATGCATCCTCAACCCAAAAGCTTCACAAAGCTCTGCTGCCAATAACACTTGCGATTCCCAGCTTCTCTAAGGGGCACGCCCAGCCTTGAGAACGCTGAGGGAACCAACGGTATCCACTAAGCAGACAAACTCCTCACCTTGGTTTAGACTTTAGCTGTTTAGACTGGGTTGCTGTTAAGGAACTTAACGGCTTGCTTTCAGAAAAGGGACTGGACGTCACGTGGTCTTCAACCCTTCATGGGGCCTTCAATCATACCAGGTAAGGCTTAGAGTTTATGAGCACTTGGGGCGCTTTCAACCCTCAGCTCTTGAACCCCAAATGAGCCATCGGTAACGGATCGGATGAAGACAAGCAATGGGGGATGCCTACGGGGGGTCACTTGCTCTGATATTCCTTAACACACGCCCACCCTAAACCCGAAACCCTAAACGCCTTTCGGCCCCTGAGTCTGCAAGCACCATCCGGGCACCCCACCCCAGCTGTGAAGTTCCCAAGCCGGCGCGTGCTGAGCCAGGGATGTCGGGGATGAAAACTTGTCTATAAGGCTATAGTCCCCCTTAAGTAGATAGAATATAGGGTATATGGGGATCTTATTATTATGTACCCGAGCCATCTTCTATCTACTTAAGGGGGACTATATACAGCAAAATCGAACCAGGATTGTCAAGCTTGTAGGCTTTTAAGCTGTGGCCTTGTGCTGATTCAAGGCTTAGGCTTCCCCGATTCTAGGTCGAAGCTTTATGAAAGTGCAACATGCAGGGCTGTGCAAAGTCCGCTCACTGATTTCAAAAAAACATTGTCAGATTACCTTATGTTCTGCTCTCACTGCCGCCAAAAAAGTCTGCATTCCAAGCATTCGAGTCTCCTCGGCCAAAGGCAGCCTTGGCTAGAAATGGTGAAGTGGCCCTGCCCGCCAGATCCCGTTGCGTTTCGAGAGAGTATCGAAGGTGCATCGTGGGACCAACCGCAGTATAGTTGTACATATGACAAAAGTCGTCCTCGTCCGTAGCCTATGCCCTACTCAGCACGACATCGCAGGAGGCAAGCAAGATCATCTTAGAATAGTCCAGCCCTGTCTTTCCTTATCAAGGCCAGTCCTACAAACCTTTACAGGGCTGGCTAACCCCAAACCCTAAACCCTAGACTTCTTGTGAAACCCAACACACCCCTCATCTGAGAGCCAGCAACGCACTGAAGCGCAAACGCGCATGAAATCTAAAGGATACATCTCAAACATGATTAACCTAGGGGCACAAACAGCAAGAAGAGCAAGGCCCTTTGTTATGCTACGAGTACATATGTATTCGCACGGGACACTACTCCTAAACTTAGTGGTGCTTAGTCGGGAATAAGGGAATACAATCCCAAATTTGATGTATTCCCTTATTCCTCACCAACCCCCAGTAAGTAAATATTCAATTTTTCGCATTTCCCATCCAGACCTGGCCGGGAGAGGTCCACACGATGTCCGTCACCACATCCCGCCCGGTGAGGACGAGGTGCGCCAGGTATAAGCCTATTTTGGGTTGCTGTTAAGGAACTTAAATTAAGTTACCATGATGGGTATACATAGTAAATAATAGGGTTGCCCCAATATAGTAACTTAATTTAAGTTTCTTAACAGCAACCCAGTATTCTGAGGATGATTTGGGGCTTGGGGGCCGAGCGTTGCGCTTGTAGGGCCTTCAGGCCTGAGGGTGTAGGGATTACTGGGTTGCTGTTAAGGAACTTAAATTAAGTTACTATATTGGGGAAACCCTATTATTTACTATATATATACCCATTATGGTGACTTAATTTAAGTTCCTTAACAGCAACCCAGATTAGGGCTTAACAGTGTTTAGACAAGCAGAAGGCTCAGCAGTTGGGTTTTTCAGGACTACATGGACAGGGTGGCTTTTGCAGGGTTTGGGGGTTTGAAGGGAGATTGGGGAGCCCGTCGCTAAACATCCTCTGTATGACCATGCTGCCTGTTGCAAGCAACAGAGCTTCCCCTTGCATCAAGTAGCTTGCATTTCCTGTTGCATGATTAATCAAAAAAGCAATCTCTTAAGGGAATAGCCGCCCGGAGAATGGAAGACAGTATTGTTAAGTCTCGTTGTCTTTAATCTAGCGCCTTCCCATTCTTTTGTAGCCCTCCTAACCCAGCAAAAGCAAGTATCCTGGAACCGGAAAATGTTGAGGAGCATGCCTGATCATGGCGGTAGGGGGTATTTAATCGTACAGGGCAGCGATGATCTTCTCCCACATTAACATGGAACACAAAAAAGCCCTGTAAAGACTGCGGTCTTTTCAAAGGGTGCTGGATGAGGTTACGATGTTCATTCGAGGGTAGGTACTCATCTAAACCCTAAGCCCCGAACCCTGAACTCTCATCCCTAAACCTCAATCCATAAGCCCGAATCCTTAAACCCCAATCCCAAAACCCTATCCCTGCAGCACTAATCCCTAGACCTGTAATGTCTGGACAAATCAACCTGAAAGTCGGGTATCATGCACCGGGATCCCCTGCGCCCCGTGGGATGAATGGAGAAAAGGATAACCTCAGAAACTTCTGGGAGTTCGGCTGAGGGTCTATGACTTGTGGCTTTTGGGGACAGATTTTATGCAGGGGATGGAAGAATTGGAACAGGGGCATGCTTTAGGATTGAGCTACCCGGCTTCTGTTTGATTCTCCATTATAGGAATAATATCCCATAGTCTTATGAGCTATGGTCTAAACTCCTAGTATCCCCCCAAATAACCCCTATAATGCTCCCCTAAATAATCCCTTATATGAACCCTTTCAGGAGAATAGACTATGGCTCCTATGACCCTATCATGTTGGGTAAGCATCTCATGCTGCACATCAGGGACCAAGGAACTGGGGCCTTTTTCCTGGCAGAAACCGACAAAGGATTTTGGGAGTCCTAAAATAGCTTAAGCCCCCAAACCTCTAGATAGAGTGTAGGCGGTGTGAAGTTTGGGGTTTTGCTACTCAGTGTACCTTGGCATGAAGCATGCCCTCCCTGTCCCTTAGAGGTTTAGGGTTTAGCACGACAATATCTAACAAAGGCCTCTGCAACAGCTGCCTGCACAGACATCTATTTTGACGTGGGGGAATAAACCATTGCAATTCTTGAGAACGCTCCAACCTGAGTCCGTATAACCACAAACCTAAGAGCCCTAAGCCCGCAAGTCTAAAGCTGAAACCGCTAAACCCTGAGCCCTTAGCCGCCTGGTATCCAAGCGAATGATTGCTCTATAGGGTTTAGGGTTTGGATATACATCTAACCCAGCTGGCGTACTATTGAAATACTATGAAGCACTATGTTCTTACATGTCTCCTCAAGGTTTAGCAAATACACGTTTAAGTTTCAGCTAGCCCCTAAACCCTAAACCTCACAAGCTAGGGGGCCAAAGCCGGGGTGTTCTTTGTATACACTGTTTACTGTTGACAAGTTCGATGTTTTGGGGTTGTGAGGTGGGAGTTCACCTTTAGCACTGAAAAGTGCACAACATGAGTTCGAAGGTCCTGAATCATGCGCCCTGCGTCGTAATCAGACGAGTCTTGAGAATATAAACCTCCCCTGCGCCTAAGGATGTCACTCCAAACTACAAGGCTTCAATGCCTTGAAGGTCTGTCGCGTGCTGCCACGAGACCGTCGGGGAAAGCACCACCTTACCAACGTCTTGAGTGCAGGATCTGGGGTGCAGGGATGCATGCATGCAGGCATGCAGGCATTAAGCTTGTGCTTTAGAAGCTTGAAGCTTCAGGATTGCACGTGTCCCCATGTCCTTGGCCACTTTTGAGGCCTCCGAGTTGGACCTAGCTCCATCAAACCCTCGCTTCTGGGTTGCTGTTAAGGA